CATCAGATATCCATGAAAGCGTTTAATTGTAGATTGTCTTCAAGATAGTATATTGCGTTTTGCATTATAATTACATCAAAAATAAGCAATAATGTCCTGCACTATCAGCCGTTGAATCGGTAATGCATCTGATTCGTATTGGTAAAGCTGATCCAGTAAAATACATTAATGAGAGCAAATGCTGTTGGAAAGACGATGCGAGCCATTTTATCGATTTGACTAACGCTATTAACACCAGGCGTGGCTGCATTTTTTACCATTGCCTCACGATACTTCGCGCTTCCCTGTAGGCAGGCTAGACAATCCCAGAGACGGCGAAGCTTAGGATAAAATGAATAGGCTGATAATGAAAAAGAGGCTGGCAAGTTTTGAAAGTTCTGGTGATTATCCTTTCTGCGAAGGTATACTTGATTCCCCGAAACGAAAACTTCATCCTTGGCGTATGGCAGAGACAAGTCAGCGAGATTGAAGTTAATGCTCAATTTGGGAAGAAATGAGCCTGTGTTACTCTAGACGGAAAAAAGTTTAGAAAAATATGATTCAGTTAAGGAAGTAAATAATTCATACAGAAATTCTTTGAGCGCATCACACATCATTCAAGGAGTAAGTGAGTTTCTGGCTCATTTAGATCTAGTCAAAAACCTTGGAGGGACTCAGATCCATGGTGATGAGTGAATACTTTAATATCATAGCATATCATACCCCAGCACAAATATTACAAAAAAGAAGTTTCTCAGCTTATATCTATGATAAAAAATGTTTTCAAGAGGAAATTTTGCATGCAAATATAAATTATACTTTATTGAATCGAAGTAGGTAACAACTATTATTTTATGTTTATAAGTAGGGTTTCGAGACTACCACTTAATGAGACATCTCATGATTTGGTTGGCCATTCTAGATTTTTCAGACGTTTGCAGAAAAGTGAAGTAGCTGCAGATGATGCATAAAGTGGATGAAATTGTGACTGAAGAACTGAATCCTCCCCTAAATCACTTGTATCATTTATCCTAAAGTGTTTATCACTATTTGTGTTCCAGTATACGCGTTGCGCATATTAAAGCTAGATGAACCATGTGAGGTGTGAGAATGCCAAACAGATTCGAGGCTAACCAAGCCTCTTCCTCTTGCCCAAAAGTACTCCTTGTTCCCCCTCTCTCCCTATTCATACCACATAGGCACAAGTAGTCTCTGTTTAATCTCTTTTGTCTATTTCTACATACTCTCTCGGTGAGTAAATCGATGGCCTCTCGGATCTAGCGTTTTCTCCTATTTTTCCCAGATATACAGACAG